TGCCCTTTTTGAAATGCTAACAAAAAGTGAAGTGTTGATTTGAAAACAAATTGCAAGAGTACTACTACACAAGAACTTTAACGTTCCAAAAATTACCAATTAAACTTTGTCACCGAAAACACAAATGTTTACCTAAAAGCTGCAATAATATTTGTGTTTCTAAAAAAGTACACTAATATTAAAGATAAATGTCAAATTTTATGTTCGACCAATCTATTTGACCTTGACTTTTTTTTACTTTTTGTTTATTTATTTTAATCAAATACGTCTAGAAGGGAGTGTTTATCAGAATTTGTCAATTTGTTGAGTGTGTGTATAAATATTTAAGTGCTATCTTGTGGAGCCAACTATTACATAACGGGTGTTCAATTGAAAAATCAGAAACATAACCTGTTATATGTTATAAGAAAGGACATGCCGTTTGTGTCAAATGAAATTCCAACGCCTACTCTTAATGAGTTTTCAATAACTGAACACCCGTTATTTGCATGTCACTCACGAATCTGGCAATTTATAGAAGGTATTAAGAAATATTTGCAACAAGATTATTGCGTTTTTGTAACATGTTCAATAGGTACTATATGACGTTGTAAAGCCCTACATACTAAAGTTAAAAATTGGCCTTATTATTGTATTACGTCTTCTGTTGTTTCTACTGGAGGCTATGTGCAGTGGTCAGTGATGTTATCGTATTTGTTACAGTTATCTTATCTTAAAAGTGTCAAAATTAAATATAGCATCTTTTAATTTGTGAAGTTTATAAGATATACAAGTGATCCATAAAGTTAAAAACCAAGGAACAGAATCTCTTGTATTATCAACACTAACACAGCATGCAACAAAAATGAAATGTTTTAGTATTATTTTTAGATGAATTCAGTTTTAAACTTGCGTATCCATTCGGCAACCACTTACGAACCTATAACGTAAAATTTCTTAGCTACATTTTACTTAGTTAGTTATTAGTTAATATTCCAACACAATCTACTTCACACATGTTGACAAATTTCTAACCAGTGTAATAGATGTTGCGCTCGCTAACAGCATCGCCAATATATAACGTGTTTACTAATATTCGCCTATTCTACATAATGTTGTCATAAGTATTTGGGCCACCAAAATTTAAGATTGTGGAAGACATATCGTGCGTCTACCTCTTATAACGTAGAATGACAATGACAGCTGAACATCCAGTACCAACTAGAGGACGATTTTTACTAATCACAAATTTTATCTACTATTTATAAATTACTAAATATTAAAAGTAAAGAAGAAAGTATTCGTTTCATGCATTTTCGAAAAACTTAATTTTTTAATTTTTTTTTAATTATGTTAACACGTCAGTTCTATATGATTAGTGTCGTTTTCTTTTTTTTAATATCAAAGTTAATTTGTTTATATACACTACATAATAATGACCCAATCTTGTGTGTATAATATTATTTTGTTATTTTTTAATATAGGATATTACAAAAAATACTACGCAAATAAGTTTGTCCATTATTTAAAATATTCACCTAATTTACCTAAAATTCTAAGGATGGAGGAGTCATGATTAATATTACATTGTAGATATAAAAAATGATATATTTATCCCTCCAAAATATCGGTGACGTCACCTCAAAAAAATATATTAGCTGAACAATTTGTGATTCTTTAAAACTGTGTGTCAACGTGTCTCAGAATTAGTATGAATGAATCGAACAAAACATTGATTAACTGAAGAAAAGTATATGATTTGTCTGAAATTTTGGAAACATGGCATTTTATGATTTACATTATATACATACATTTACAGTATATTATTTCAGTCAATTCGTGATGTTATTTTAAATAAGATTCTGATGCCAACATATTTGCATATACCTAAACATAAATCATGCATTGTCAGAAAGTTGTATTCGTGGATAATAAATTTTGGTGTATCGTACAGTGACTGTGCGATAACAGTAACAATAATACATAATATGAATTTATGCTTAATTTGATAAGGGAATAAGTATTGTACATACCTGCTACGTTGCACGTTTGTAAAAATTTTTAGTAGTTTTGACACTTCATAACCTTTGTTAATACGGTTAAAATTAAATTATGTTTTCTATATACACATTTATTTTAAGTTAAGATAATAAATACAAAATTGTCCTTAGCACCACATGCACAATGAAAATAAAAAATCTGAACGTTTACAAATATCTGTAGCAGAATATGGTGTACCAAAACATGTTAAAACAATTGATAGTCGTTTAAAAAAACAACTGAGGGCTCTGAAAGTTTTATGTTTAGAAAATTATCTTACGAAAAATAATGTTTTGATCTTTTAATGCATGATTAGGGCAGATAACCCGAAAAATTTAATAGTTTCGCTCAATCAATTGTTATTATTGGATATTAAATTATTACTAATATTTAATCACATCATTAATTCAACCAGGCAATCAATCGATCATATGATCAAATTCACTCAATTAAGTGCTCAGATCTTTGATTAATCGCACATTAAATTTTAATACGAACTAAATATTCGTTAGGGACCTTTGCGGCGCTTTTCAAAAATGTTTGCTTAGGTAACTGAATCAGAATGACTTATAAGGTCTACATTTTTTTTTTTGTAAAATCGGCTGTGAAAAGTTTAATAAAAGTTGCGATGTTAGGTTGTTACATGTGTAATTTTATGTGAATTTCAGTTTACTATTTCAACATTATTAACTGATAAAATTGATAGTTTCATTTTGCTTGTGTAACGTGTATACATGAGATAATTAAAGCACGGACATCAGGGGGCGTAGCTCAGATGGTAGAGCGCTCGCTTAGCATGCGAGAGGTACCGGGATCGATGCCCGGCGCCTCCAGAACTTTTTTTTTTTTATTTTAACAAATAATTTAAGACACATACTATAATGTAAGTTTACTTACACTTGTTTCATGGAAAACACATATTTTTAGGAAGCTAAAAACTTTAGATCTGATTTTTGTTTTAATTACTTGAGATATAACATAATTAGATAGTTAAGAAATTTGTTGTATAGTTAATTGGTTCCTGAACATGAAACGTAGCTACGTAAGAAGAACCAAATAAATTCAACGATAGAGTAGCTATTTGTACAACTATTCTATTTCAGTTTATTTCTGATGAAGCGTGACCGACTTAAAAAAAATCGTTTGAGAGAAAACCGGGAAATATTTTCATGCAACTTCATTTTAACAACAAAATAAATTGCTAGAATTTACTTATATTGATTTATTAAATTAAACTGAGAGTACGAGTATTTGGCAAGCAAGAGTCACTTGTAAAAAAATATTTAAAAGTATTTTTTCTACCGCCCACGTTTTTTGGTTTTCTAATAGAGCTATTAACGCACGCAAATGACGTCACAGCAGTTCGTTAATAGCGGAAAGGCGTTCTTTAATAGATCTGGTGTAATTTAGATCGGTAAGATTGGTAGCAATGACGAGAAATGTCAGGTGAATGTCAGTGGCAAATCTAAACTTAAAATTTCCCACGTTTCCGGACGCGTAACTTCTTCGCAAGACATTTTAACCAATTTTAAATTACGAAAATTCGAATTGATTCGAATTACAATTGTTGTTGTGAAAATTCGAACCTCAAATATTTCGTGGTTAGTGTCAGACCAATCCATCACCAACCACGACAAAAGTCCCCAGATTAAAAAAAGTGCAAATTTTAATTAAATTTTGGGAAAAAACGTGTGCGGTAGAAAAAATAGTATAAATAACTCGTTCATAAGGCCATTGAGGCACTCATCCTTTATATAACTCGCGGCTTCGCCGCTCGTTCTATAAACTTGGATTCGTGCCTCAATATTTGGCTTATGAAACTCGTTCTTTAATATACTATTAAAATACAAAGGTTTTTAAAAAGTGTTCATTTTCTTTAAAGTCGTATATAAAAGCAAACAATCAGTGAGAAATAAGAGAACTACTAAGTAAAATTAAAAGTGTAGAACTACCATATGAGCGAAAAAAATCTCTAGCGAGCTTTGAAATTTAATGTTAAAAATGATGTTGGCAACACGAACGCGGTCCTTGTTAAGCTTGACAGTTACGGTCAAATAATTGTCAAATGGATGGATAGCTGCCGTGATAACATCATTATTTTAAAAATGAATTTCAGGACCTACTAGAGGACTTTTTTCGATCATTTAATATTTATTTTGTAGTAGCTACTGCACGGAATTAAAACTTCATACAGATCTTTCCAACTTACATTTGGTGATTTTAAAGTATTTATTTATTCCGATTTCATTCTTACTTATGTTGCACACAAATATGATGCATTTATGGTAATTTTTTTGAACAATTTAAATCGAGTAAAAATCTAAATTATTAAAATGTTAAACTGACTGTTATCAGGTTATCATAGTGGAATTAAAAAATCATTTAATGTCTCGTTAATATATTTGAGATAATATGTGTTTTTGTACAGACAAGAATACATGGCAGATAATTACTGCTATAATCAAAAGAAAATTATTTGAATGTTAAACCAACATTTCATTCAAAACAATAATTGTTTATTTAGTTTAATGTAACAAATTAAATTACTTCATGTACACAAAAATTGTAAGGAACCTCGTTTATAATTATAAATTTACAAAACCTAAATATCTGCAAAAGGGTAAATTAATACAAACATTTATTTTTAATACAAAAAAAGAGAAAAGCATAATTTGTATGTGATAGCCACAACCTTTATTTTTATGCAGCATATCGTTAAATTAGGACAACCACAGGGGTAACATGAAAAAATGAGTTCAACAGGTAACGATGCATAATATAAATTATTGTTCAAATGGCGGACATCCGGCCATGTTCCACCGGAACCAGGAAACAATACAGAATAGCGAGGTCGTGTATCAGTACTGTATTGTCACGTAACGCTATTGCTGATACGAGAATGTTTTCAAATATCAAAGTAAATTTTTATTTAGCTTGAATGAAGCCAGATGTATCTCGTTCAGTGATATTGATATTTGCAATCAACTTAAATTTTTTTATTGTGTTTTGATAAATTGAGTATAATAAATTTAGTCATGCAGACGAAGTTTAGATACTTTTTCTGTAGTTTGTTTACTTTCCTGTTGTTGGGTTTCTTGTTCTTGAGGCGAAATATTAATCCCATAATCTTCTAAATTGTCCGTGTATTTGCAATATTCTGAAAAGAATTCAAGAAATTCTTTTTCTTCTTCAGTCAACATTCTGGGTTGTGGAGGCACTGGTTTTGGTGGATTTACAGGTGGTGATCTCCATTTAAGTTCTGCAACCAACAAATATTTAATTTGTACGCCGCAACAATGTTTAGTAGCGAGTATCAGTAATAATTAAACGACAACAATCGAGAAAATTGACAAGTTAATACCTCTACCACCTCTTCTATGAGGAGGTGAAAATACTTTCTGCAGTTTCTGGTAGAGCATCTCAAATTCTAATAATTGTCTGGCTGCCTGTTGCGCCACCTTCATCATTTTAGCCTCTTCTCTGTAGCAACTAACTTCCAATTGTGCCACTTGTTCTGATGGCATTTGATCCAAACTAATAAGTTCTTCGCGAAATTTCGATTCAATCATTTTCATCATTTCGCTCATGGTTAGATTAGCATCGTTTGGACCGATTCGCGTTTCGTATACATCTTCGACAAAAACGTAAAGGTTTAAGACTTCTTCGGCAACGACTAAATTCTTGAATTGGCCGTTAATTAGTTCGAGGGCTAATTCTTCCAGATATCTGGCACGTTCCTCTTCCCAGCTAATTAAAATATTTCTAATTTATTCATACAATACAGAAATGCACTTACGAAATTCCACCAGCAAGTTTGTCAATAAGTTCTTGAAGAGCGTTGATTTCAGCGTTAAATAATTCCTCAGCTCTAGCCATTCCTTCTTTTACGTTTTCCAAAGGAGCAGCTAGTTCTTCAGAATGTAAGAGGGAGTTCAGATTTTGTAATTCCATAAACCTAAACACGTCGAGGAGCTGATTTGGATCAGTAAAATAAAGAGCTGGTTCTTTTTGTTGAGCACAGTCGTTCCTAAATTGGGTAATGAGATCTTCCAGAGACGCGGTTTCGTCAGTCACGTTTAACCTATATTTGGCAAAAATTGAAGACACCTCTTGAAAAGCAGTTAAGTCTCCCTCTTGGATATAATAGTAATCGTACTCTTCCCTCCATGCCATTGGACTTACCAAGTAAAGAAATCTTTGATACAGTTTACAGCTTCTCCACTTTTCCTCGGTGCTGTACAGAATTGATTTTAACGCCCCATACTCCCTTGATAACTTTCTATATTCTTCATATTTTTCTTGAGCTAACATTGCTTCACGATCAGATTCTTTTAACAAGTTCATGGATGCTGTATGATCTTTATACAAAAATTCCTCAAACGTGTTAACATACGTTTGATAATTTGCTCTGATCCTGTCGATTTCTTTCTGCTCAAGAATTAAACTTTCATCTATAAGCATAATGTCGTCACCTCTGTATCCAGTAAGAATTTTAGTTTTTAAAACTTCGCGAACAGTTGCAATATATTTTCTGAGCCTTAACTTTTCAGGTATAGGTCTTCCTTCTACAATCGTAAAAAACTCAGGATCGACATCCGTGACCATTTTAGCGCTCTTTACTTGAGGTTCCTTCACATACAATCTGTTTAACATATCAGCCTGTTGCCGAGATTTGTAATTGTGCCTTTCATTATATTTATAGGACAGCTCCTTTCTTCTCAATTCTGATCTCCACGCCTTTGTCATCACTTTGTGTGCAATCTCCTCTTGATCTTTCGGATAGACAAAGGGAGATGGCTCGTTAAGGAGATCTCGCTGATTTTGATCATTGATTCCGCAGCCACTTGTAAAATATCTCGGCTTGATTCTAGGCAGTTTTACTGGTTCCTTGGTTCTGTGATGGGGTTTCGGTTTGGGTCTCACATCGAAGCGAAGTTTCTTTGAACGTGTGTCAAAATTTACTTTGAGAGATTTATTTTGTGAAGATTCTGCGCAGGATAAAGTGGCACCGCTCGAGAAAAGGTTAGGATTTTCAGAAAACCACAAACCACCCTGATTTTTTTCCGGTTCGAAAACCGGACACTCTGCATACTCTTCCGTTGAGTCTGCTTGTTTTTTCTGTTCTTCTGTCATGCTAAAAAATCACGAAAAAAGTCACACGTTTACAAGTGCAAAATTTTGTCAATCTGGCGTTGCTGTAGGCGGTTGCTATAGAGATAAATTATTTAATCGATACTTCTTATTCTTTCATATTATGATGTGAAATAAGGTCGTAAAACTATACAACACATGTCTCATCAGGAAATGCATTTATCGTTTTCCCAAGGTTTCTCAAGTATTATGTTTCCAGTAAACTAAACTAAAATTACTTCTGTTAAAAGTGTCTTGTTTAATACGACAGTTGTTTTTCACACGAACTCTTTAATTAAACAGGCGCAAGAGACACTAATTTGGGACGTTTTAAACAAATTGCCCATTGCTGACTGTTACGGAATTCATACGTATAAAATTTCTCTTGGTGCCTTAAGGAAGCGAATTTGTGTATACTGGGAACTTATTAGTGCCTTTGCGTTATCAGATCTTATGCTTGGATGTGGCTGGGCGTTATTTTATTATCACTCTCAAAGAACGTACCTTGAGTTGTAAAACTCGTAATAAAATCTATCGATAACTAGTTTAACTAGTATGGTGTTATTATGATATTAATACCACGCACCAACAATAATTACGCAACTTTTATTTTAAAGGATTTTACATAAAACCGTTGGTGTTAAAAATCTGACAAGTTATTTACACAACACTTCCCTATTTGTTTGCTAATGCTAATTGTCAGTAATTTGCTCACAAGTTTTATTATAAGCTATAACCTGTAACGAATTTTTTTTCGCATTTTGTAGTAATAATAATTTTAAAGACGTCTCAACAAATTTAAACTTAAGTTGTGTCTTAAATGTTACGCCTGATTAGAGTTGGCAGAAGTTAAGAAATACCACATTTTTCATGTTTATCGTTATCGTCTATAACTCTACATGTCGTTGAAACAACTGCTGGGAAGGTAAAATAGTAAGCAAACCACAACGTAATTGTATCGTGTAGCTTAATAATGTACTTTTACGTTTTAATTTAAATTTTACAGTTTAAAGCAATGGTTACACACATTCTTCTTTGGAATTTGGATTTCTTTAAAAATATGATAACGTCATTTGAAAAAAAAAAAAAATCATTAAGAGCAATGTCTTGACATGGCGTGTGGTTATAATATGCTTATTATGAAAATAATTACCAGCTTATTTCAGAAATGGTTTGCCAATTTCGTTGAATCATTAAGAATACAGTAATGTCACCATTACACATGTATAAATTAATATATTTATCTGCTCAAACAGGTTACAAAGTTACAAAATGTTTTCCTAAATTTCACAAAAAATATTTTTTCCAAAAACTGATACTATTTTGACTTTCATATCAATTTGTTGATGGTCTTCATAACTAATCAGTGAAATACGGTTTCTATCTACAATAAATCCATAAACTAGCCTTTCAAACTGTTTGGGGTCATCGAAGTTCTGAACATGTTTCTTAAATTTATTACAAAATTTATAACAAAAACATCTGTTTTGGAATATTAAAAATTTACAGATTTATAGTGTCATGATTTTTTTGTAATTTAAAAATATTTATTCCTTGTCAGAATATTATTACGTGTAAGCTATAAAAAGTTGGTAAAGTCAAGTGGTTTTAAGGCGGCAAAAGATTTAGATAATTTTTACTTCCCCAGTAAGTGGCGACTTTCATGTTGTCTTGAAATTTCATGACCCCTAGAATCTGTCAATCTGTCTGTGTCAATTTTCATTATATAGATAATCTCCGAAACCTAGACCGATTGTTGTCAAATTTTATACGTATTTTAGAAACATCGTGTAGATGGTAAAACTTTTACCAAATTTGTCTAATCACCCCTATCACTATAGAGGTTATCATAAAAAATAAAATCTGGACATGTTGTACTCTAGAGGCGAGGAAAGTTCAGTATAAACATTTTCGACATAAAACGGAATCTGCATCTTTCAATAAACGTAAGTACAAAATTTCAAAAAATCGGCCGAAAAATAATTGAGATATAAGCACCGAAAATCTTAGGTGGAACACCCGGTATATTTAAATGTATCAAACGCAGTAAACAAATGTTTATTTATTTATTTATTTATATTTATTTATTTATTTATTTATTTATTTATTTATTTATTTATTTATTTATTTATTTATTTATTTATTTATTTATTTATTTTAATATAAAATCCAGTTCTAAATGTCACTATTTTTATCTTTTTTAGTCAGTATGTACATGTAAAGCCTCACTAAGCAAATTACCCTTCGAAAAGACTGTTTTATAAATATTGAGAAAGCAACAGAGATGGAAACAACAAAAATGCGCCAAGGGTACCTAAACCTAAAATTATAAAAATTGGTTGAAGGTTATTTCAGCAGAACTTCCCGCGCTCCTGACATACAATCCAATAAATTATGCGTTTATGACAACCTCCATACATTAAAAAATATAAATAAAATGATAGAATGAATAATAGTGTAAGGAAAAAAAGGCCCATGAGATCTTCCCGTTCGAAGTCCGAAGTGGCCGACTCTTACCACTGCACCAGCGAATGTTCGTACGCGAGCTCTGGTTATACTTATTAGTTTATTAGTATAAAAGATTGTCATACAGTTTCAAGGCAGATTCATAGACCACAAGTACAGTGGTACGTTGTCTATGTAAAATTTAAATTCTACTGAATATGAAAAATATTGAAACATTATCATATTGTTGGTGGGGATGATTCGACGCATTTTGGTTAGCGTTTTACCATCTACACGACATTCCTAACACATAATATATTAAACAATTGGTCTGGTAGTTTCGGAGATTGTCTGTCTAATAATAAGACACAGACGGCGACAGACATACAAACGGAAACGAGAGACCTATTTTTTCATATTCTAGGGGTCATGAAACCTAGAAAAAACGTGAAAGTAGCCATTTGCCGGATGGTTATAATACTGTCTTAGCTTACCCAGAGGTGTTACGATGTATATATATTTTATATATGAATCCATTGATAGACACTGAAATTCAATTTTGGATGATTTTAGAGGAAAACGCTTGGAAAGTTATCAGATAAGAAAATAAAAAATGTATACGACATTTCTGTACCGACAATGTGAACATTAGCGATTAGAGAAGCTTAAAGTATAATGTTTTATATATAAAAATATTTAACCAGGTTTGCTTAACTCTTTTAGTGCTAAAGTTCAAACAAATTTCGAATATTTTTGGTTCATGCATCTCTAAACGACAAAAAAAAAACTACAAGGTAGAGTCATAAAATTTTGCACATTTTTGATAGGATTTGTCTAGCAATCTTTAAGTTTTTCGAGAATGTGAATAGATAACTTTTGATTAGCGATTATGCGTGCTCACGATGACTTAAGCCGTTTACAAGGTTTCGGAGCAATCGGCTTTTTATTTTCTAAGATACATTTTTAAATTTTCTTTTACAATTTTGAATTTTAAACGGGCGTTTTAGTGCAAGTACAGAAAAATATTATTTTATAAAATTTAAAGTTACTTAGCAAAATTTTGAAACGACTTCGTCTAAAAATAATTAATAATTACTTTTCTCATAAAATTGCCAACAAACGGACAATAGCAGAAAGACAGACAGACGACAAATTGACGGAAACAGCAGATTTATTTTCATATATACTAGGAGCTATGGAACGTTAAGAAAACATGAAATTGGCCATTCGTAAAATAAGCCCTGTTATAGTATTTTTCTAGATCGGGAAGTAAAAATATAGATTTATTTTAATATTGTACGTAACAGTCGACAATGTGAAGGCAACAACCTCAAAAACTTTTAACGCCACTTTTTCTTACACATTTTTTGATGTACTAAATACCCTAAACTTTTGCAAACGGTGTCAAAAAGTAGTACATCGGTAGCTCGCTTTTAATGTAACCGGCACGCGCGAATTTAAATGATGACGCCAACATCGATTAAAGTTTTATTAGATGTTTTTCTAATGTACTGAACATACTTGTCAAATCGGAATTTATGTATTTATTATCTGCAAATAATTTTCGCATTCGGGAACAGTCAGATTAGAAATATTGATAGCTAATTATGACATTAAAAATAAAAAAAAGCTCCCGCGCACATAGGCGGAAACTTTCTCTTTGAATTAATTAAAGTTAAATAGATATCTTAAGCCCATCCCCCTCGTTTAAAAATCGGATTAACTAATTTTCGACTGGATCAATAACCTCCCTAATGACAATAATAGGCAACAGATCCTCTCTAATAAAAGAAGCAACGACCGCGCACAGAGCCGTAACTGGCTTATTTTAAGGCTTGCTTTTTCCTTATTGGATTTACTCTTCTTCGTTCCTCCAAAAAACTGAAACCCACTTATAAACGTAAATGGTACGTAATCTGTACAGAATTAGCTTTGCCTGAAGTCATTTCGCCTTGACATTTTCATCGAATTTTTTGTTATCATTTTCATTGAACTAAATGTGTAAGTATAATTTTTCTTTGGAGCTCACATAATTTTGTGCCACAAAAAACTAGAAGAAGAAAATCGACGTAGATATGGCTGAATTCAACGCCACATGAAATCTAGATATTCACAAGCCGATAAAGCGTCAAATAATAAAAGCTCGTCACGTTTTTTTTTTTCGGCCGTTGATATGAAATTGTTTTCCGGCAGTGTCGATGTCAGCTGTTGCCTGTAATAAACAGCGTGTTTATTTTAATTTTAACTGCAGCTTTTTGACATTAGAACGAGGAAAAGTAGCTTTGTATCTTGCTTTGATAAACGACCTGCGATGGTGTTACATAATACACGTGTAGATGTCAAATTCACATTGAGTATAATTTATTTTGTTTTCACTTCCTTTAAAATCTAAAGAGTGTAAATAAATGAAAGGATTCAGATGGAATACTGCTGGTGCTGAGAGCATACGCGAAGAAATTATTGTTCGTGGTTTGTTCAACTTGTTTGATGGATGGACTTCATGAATTACAATGTGATTATCGATCAACTGTAAATAGGTAATACATAACAGCAAAAATTGGATTTAACGGTCAGGCAGCGTCAACAATAAAAGGGGAA